TTTTTTTTTTAGCAACTGGTCATCAATTTATTAAAACAGTTGATTTAAGTATCTGCAATGGTGACTTCAGCCTCAACTCCTGACTCAATACTGATGGAGGTAATCTGCTTAACAATCTCAGAAGGGTATGCAGGTCAATGAGTCACTTGTGGCTTCTTATCTGGAAGTGATCCCAAGTCTTAGAATCTTCACCACAAGGAATTTTTCTTATAGTGATTCTCAAAGTCTTGGTAGGCATCGGAATGGTCCTTTCACTTAAAGATTCTTTTCCTTTGTGCCTCTGATCAAGTCAGAACACACCTTTTCCCAAGGACTTTACATTACAGCTTGTGAGAGTAACTTAATTTGGTGAATTGCCACCTCTGGCTCCATAGGTGTTTTTCCATTATGTTTAAAAGCCATGGCTATGGCATGGCTTCCTGACCAACTTGTTCTTTGGCAAAAGCGAGCAGTGGTGAGTCAGGAACAGAAGCAAGCACAGCATGCCTCCACCAAACTTGCAACTGCATCTTCCTCAAAAAAGCTTGATTTGATTTCTTAATATTTTCTTAAGGATTTTGCATCCATGTCCATGAGGGATATTAGTCTACAGTTTTCTTTTTTGTGATACCCTTTGTCATGTTTTGGTATGAGGATTATATACTTATAAAATGAGATACAAAGTATTCTCTCTTCTATTTTTTAGAAGAAATTTTTAAAGATTTATTACTATTTTTTCTTTAAATGTTTGCCAGAATTCACCGTAAGCCATCTAGCCCTGGAGTCTTCTTTGCAGAAATATTTTTAATTCTGATTTTAATTTCTTTACTATGTTTAGATGTCTTTATATTATAGGTTTTATGTGTCAGTTTTAATAAAGTATGTTTTTATCAAGGAACTTGCTAATTTATCTAAATCTTCACATTTATTGGCATAAAGTTATTCATACTATCCTGTTATCTTATTAATTTCTGAGACTCTTTAGATTCTACATTTATTGGGCATAGTGTTCTATATGTGTTAGGTTGGTTGATTAGTAATTTGTGTAGTTTTCTTCTGGTAAGTGCTTATGGAGTATGTGTTTTTCTACCTATTTGATTTCATCTTCCTATGTTTTTATATTTTAAGTATTCTTATGGTCCAAGGCCCTCTTATAAACAAATATAATTAGGTTCTAGGGTATGTTCAATTTTTCTAACTAATCATTTTACTTAGTCCAGTCATAGTTAATATAATTATTTATTTGGGTTTAAATCTACCATTTTTCATTTTGCTTTTTTTTCTATTTGTCAAGGTCTTCTTTATTTCTCCTTTGTTGCATTTCTTGAATTAATCAAGCATGTTTTATTATTCCAGTTCTCTTATGTTAACATTTTAGTGACACATTTTTAAATTCTTTAATTTACTGCCATATGTAAATATGCATCTGGACTTACTAAAACCCACCTTCAATAAATACTCTAACATGCTATGTTAAAATTAATGCAAGGTAAGGATACAGAATTGTAAGGGAAGTCCTTTTTGAGGAGATGACATTTTCACAGAGCTGCCCAAAGAGGTAAGGGCTAAAAAGCCTTATGAAGCTCTCAGAGAGGAGCCTTCCAAGTTGAGGGTATAACAAGTGAGAGATTGTGATATGGGAGTATGTTTTAAGAAATGGAAAAGAGGTCAGTACAGCACTTAATACTACCTAATATTATATTGTATATTTGTTTATTTTTCTGTCTGTTCTACTAGACAGCAAACTCCATAAGAGTAGAAGCTATGCTTGTTCACTGTTCTATCCCCAGGGCTTAGAACAATATGTAACCTCTAGTAAGTTCTTACCCAACTCACTGTTTAACTTGGGGAAAGCATCTTCTAAGCCTCAGACCTTCATTCCTAGCAGGAGAAGATTATACGCTTCTAAGAGCCATTCCAACTTTAAGCATGTGGTTCTGTTTATATGTTCCAATTCTGACTTGGTCACAATACTTATCTAAGAAAGCTTGGGGAGAAAAATTTAGTGTTTTTCTCCATCTGCTGGAAATAATTTAAAACTTCTATTTCCTGCCCACTTAAATTCAATTTTCTTGTGAGATTTTCTAAACATTTAGGTCAAGTGCCAGGAAACTAGCTTCTTGGAACAAAACTACCTAAGCAAAAATGGCAAATCCATTTTTGCTTTTTTGGCTGGGATGAAGGTGCAAGGGAGGAGAAGATGATAGAATGGGTCTTTTTCTTGCAGTTGTGATTCCAAAGAATCCCTATCCTGTGTCTGATGTCAACACTGAGAAGCCCAGCATCCACAGCAGTACCAAAACTCTCTTGGAGCATCAAGCAGGGCAGAGGGGGCGAAAACCAGCAAGGAAACGGGGCCGGACACCCAAAACCCTAATTCCCCACCCCATCTCTGCCCCATCCAAGTCAGCTGAACCTTTGAAATTCCCAAAGAAGAGGGGTCCCAAACCTGGCAGTAAGGTAGGTAAAAATGTGGGCTTTTTAGAAAGGGATAGGGGCCATGAAGGGGTAATTCGTGCATATCCAGCCATCTTGCAAAGGGTCATATCTGGCCATCTTCATCTTGTGTATGCTTTTAAGAGGACTCTCTTACGTTGTCATTCTTACTCAGCTTCGTATCTTGGAGTTGGTAGTATTAGAGATAGGATGATGGAGATATAAAACAAATCATAACTTAAAAAGTTACATTTGGCCCTGGTTCATGCGCTGCTTTAGGAGCATTCTCAGGTGAAGAGATGGCGTTTGTGAAGAGTGGATGGTTGCTGCAACAGAGTACCATTTTGAAACGCTGGAAGAAGAATTGGTTTGATCTGTGGTTGGATGGTCACCTGATCTATTATGATGACCAGACCCGTCAGAGTATCGAGGACAAGGTCCACATGCCAGTGGATTGCATCAACATCTGCATGGGGCACGAATGTCAGTATATTCAGCCTCCAGAAGGAAAGTCAAAAGACTATATGCTGCAGATTGTTTGCGAAGATGGGAAAACTATCAGTCTTTGTGCAGAAAGTACAGATGATTGTTTGGCATGGAAATTTACACTCCAGGATTCCAGGACAAACACAGTGTATGTGGGCTCTGAGGTCATGACTGATGAGACAGCTGTGGTTTCTTCCCCTCTTCTATATACAGTGTATGCCACACCAACACCTGAGCAGGCATATGGCTATGGTCCATATGGTGGTGCATACCCACCAGGAACTCAAGTTGTCTATGCTACAACTGGGCAAGCATATGCTGTGCCCTACCAGTACCTATATGCAGGACTTTACGGACAGCACCCTACCAACCAAGTCATGATCTGGGAGCGGTATTGAGACAACGACAGTGATTTGGCACTGGGCATGCTGGCTGGGGCAGCCACGGGCCTGGCCTTAGGCTCTCTCTTCTGGGTCTTCTAGATGCCTCGAGATCTTGATGTGCACAGCTTCTGATAACCCCATGTGCAATGAGAGGATCTCCAGGGCGTTTCCGTTTGTGACACACGTTTTTAATCATAGTTGTAACAGTTCCTTTGAGAGTAGTGATGTCTTAATTGTAACTGATCCATATAAGTATCTCAGAGGAGGGTTTGCACTGTGCTGTTTAGGTGAACACAAACTCCTTAGGGGCACGAGCTCATTCCTAATGCAACTTTTGGAATACCTTATTTGAATATGCCTATTTTGAAAGGCATTTTCTTTTTAGAGTTGAGTGTAGCAACTTTAGGGATAATTTATTTTTGTGTTGTGCCAGTAATATACTGATGTGTAAGTAAATGAGTGATCATGGCAAGAAAAACTGCAGCTTCTGTTTAACTTCAGACCTTCAAAGCTCAAGCCAGAGCTGGACTGGTTGGGTCCTGGGCAGCTTGCCTGAGGCAGTGATGTGAGAGCCCCAGACCTGCCCTCTGGATTCCACAAGCCCCATCCATTCAGGATGACAGAGGACAGCCCCGCTTTGGGAAAGGATGCTTCAGGAACCTGCCTAACCCTAGCTGCTTATTCTCACGTTATTTTGGTAGGTATTAGTAGTAGGATTTAGAAAGCATCTCAAATTAGGAATTGATTTGCACCTCAAAGTTTTAGGGCTTTATTCTTGAACACTTGAAGAAGGCAGAACAATAACAAACAAGTGTATGGAAGTAGATTTGCTTTATTCAGAGACGTGGTTTTGTGTCGGCTTTGGGTGTTTTTATTGCAGCCTAAGCCTACTTGGAGCCTATTTTTCTACTAGTTGTGAGAGTGATAGTAAAAGAATGTGAGGGAAATAGAAGGAGAGCCATAATCAGGACATTTCCCATTTCTGGCCCTCTGGGGATTGTGCTGGGTGGAGGATGCTCTTCTGTTCCTCTGAGGACCTGTCTTGTGCCAGACAGGACCTTGTGACTGTCCACTGAGTGCTGGGACAAACACAGACTATACAGAAGTGGGGCCCAGGGATGTAAGAGACATGCTCAGAGTACCACTCAGCTTGGCCAGGTCCCCAGCTTTGTTCTTGTTCCTGACCCACATGTGACAGAGAACCTTAGAACATTTGAGTTTTGAGCCCCCAAACATGTGAATCTCATGAAAACCCAGTCTTGCCTTTCCGTCCAGTACTCTTATTTCCAGTATTATGAAGTATGTATTTCAGATATTCACATATTTCATGTTTTATAGCTCCTAATGACTCCATTTTCTGTCTTGCATTCTATGAACAGTGCCCTCTTGCAAGGGCAGTTTAGCACAGTGAGTGTCCCTGTCCCACATTTTATGTGGTCCTTTTTTCCCCAAATATACTCCAGGTTGCACAGACTATGTTTTGTTTTCTCTGGCTGGTTGTGTGATACTGTCTTATACACATACCACCTAGTCGGCTCTTGTCTCTGAGGCACACTTACTTACCATGTTACACCAGATGCCAAACGAACTGAATAGTGACTGCTGGTCAGTATGGGTCTTGTTGCCAAGCGGGTGTCTCTTTCCACCAGGAGGGAAATGTGTCCTCTCTGGACAGAAGTGGTGTGTTAAAAATACTGGTGTCAGTGGTTTAAAATGCTGTTATGAGGATTTTATATCTTGTGTAATGTGAGTGGCTTTTGCTCAGATTATAATCGTCAAAGCTGTGTACTTTACTTACAAACCATTCATAGTTTTTCCTGTTGGATCAAGTGTAATTTGGAGTTACTGGGCAGGAATTACAGGAACCACACAGAATTCAGTTATACCTGGGTGCTCTTGAAGGAAAGAGCACCTGTATGCTTCCCTGGCTCCTTCTGGCTAAAGAGGGAGAGGTGTGGATGGAAGCCTGAGCACCTATGTGTGTCCTAGTCCCCATCACCCCTGGGGCAAGGCTCATGAGGCAGCCATAGTGGGGCCTAAGAATTCACTGTCAGTAGACTTGAGCCTGGTATGAAATGCATACTGGGGATGATGGTGAGCTCAGATTGATTCTGTGCCAGAACTTCCATAGATGCCCACCTTCTCATCACCTCCACTTCTTAGCAGTGTCCTTTGTTAAGTGTGTGAGTTGGAAGAATTTTGTTGAAGTTTGAGTAAGCATTTTCCTTCCATGTATACTTTTAAGTGATGATCGGTACCTGGGAGAAGTTAGCCATTGACATTGTACACATGCTGATCTGATTGTCCTTTTAATTTGTTGAGTTGACTTCAGGGTCTTGGATATTAAAGAGAAGAGGGAGACCTATTGTTAATGTCTCAGATTATCATTCATGAACAGGGCCTGAATATATCTATTTTAGTTCCTAGGACACAGGGTTGCCATCTGGATCATGAGAAGGCAGCCCTGCAATTGGGACAAATGACCCAAGTTTATTTTTCACATCAAGTGTTGGTCCTGTGTAATCTTTCTTTTTTTTTCTTTTTCTTAGTTTATATAGACATAAGGCATGGAATACAGTTCCACTTTTCTTTCCAGAATTGGTCTTTTTTGTGATTGCTTCCTGGTCTCTAGTGTTGTCTACAGAAACTGTTTTCCCCTGTATATGCGAATTACACATTTATAAGTGAAAATGTCAATACATTAAATGATCATTAACCTTAAAAAAAAAAAAAAGAAAGAAAGTTACATTCAAGGGGATTCTGGTGTAATGAATATGGAAGACCCTAGTACTTGTTAACCTTCCTAGACAGGATACCGAGCATGTGAACAGAAAGAACAGATTAACTCTATAATTTTTTTTTGCTATCTATCCCTTCTTAAAAGATAAATTGAATACCTACTAAATGTCAGACTCTGTATTAAATACCATTACATACATATCACATGGTCTGCACAAAACACTAGGAGAAATAAGTAATGTTGACATTATTTTATAGTTTAGTATATTGAGACTGTGAAATGATTTCTCTAAAGTCACATAGCTAGTAAGTGGCAAAGGCTGCTGAGTCAGCTTCACTGGGCCCTGTTACTGAAAACATAGTTTTCCATGGGCCTCTTCCCTAGGGAAAGCATTGATATGAAAAGGCAGCTTCTCTACAGCTTCTCTGAGGACGCTTCAGAATTGCTCCTTCCTGAACAAAAATACCTAAATTCCAGTGTGGAATTTACAAGCCCTAAGGTGTGTTGGTTGGTTGGTCTGTTTGTTTATTATCTTCCAGTGACTTTAGTCCTTGTAGAATACAAGCTCAAGATCAAAATTCTCATCTTTTCCTTCTCTTTTTCTCCTACAGTGCTTTATATCTCAATCTTTTGGGAAATGTTTAGGATATGCAAGCTGGGTGGGAGGGTAGGGAGTGGGTGAATGAATAGATGGATGAATGGATTTTAGTGATGATGCTACCAGTCTCAGCTGTCTCTCATTTTTGACTTTGAGTTCTCAATGTCACCTCCTTATCTTCCTGTTTAGCACACAGTGCTCCTTTTGAACTATTACCACTCATCTCTCAGCCAGGTCCTGATTTGTTGTTTCTCCATTACTCTCCTGTCATTCTCATGTTGTAGAGGAGAAGCTGTAGGCCTTAAGGATAACACGGCAAAAGAAGCCATGCTTTTGATGATGCAATGACTTCTTAAGGGAAGTCACAAGCGGGAGAAAAGTTATCTGAAGGGCTCCAAAGATAGAACCAGAATCAGAAAGCAGAAATTGGGCTGGGTGCAGTGGCTCACGCCTATAATCCCAGCACTCTGGGAGCCTGAGGCAGGTGGATTGCTTGAGTTCGAGACCAGCCTAAGCCAGAGTGTCTCTAAAAATACCCAGGTATTTGGGCGCCTATAATCCCAGCTACTTGAGAGGCTGAGGCAAGAGGATCTCTTGAGCCTAAGAGTTTGAAGTTGCTGTGAACTATGACACCACCACACTCTACCAAGGGTGACAAAGTAAAACTCTGTCTCAAAAAACAAAAAAATTTAAATAAGCAGAAACTCAAGTAGACAGACTTTGCCTCAATATAAAACAAAGAGTGAAATCTATCCCAAAATGGAAGTAGTAAGCTGCTATGACTGAAAGTATTTCATCAGGGACTGGATGACCCTGTGGGAAGGATGTTTTTGGTAGAGGGAATTAGAATATTGGCTAGATGGCTAGATTAAATGTCCTTTAAGATCATTCAAAATCCAGTAACTATGAGTCTGTGATTGCCTCTACTCCCTCAAGAAGTCTTGAACATAATAGCAAAGTCCTCTTTCTTTCCAAGCATCTTAAAAAAAAATTATTCAACCTTATGCTGAGTGATAGATGGGTCAGAGATGAGATCAAGAAGGAAATTACCAAATTTTTAGAACAAAACAATAATGAAGACACAAGTTATCAGAACCTCTGGGATACTGCAAAAGCAGTCCTAAGAGGGAAATTTATAGCATTGCAAGCCTTCCTCAAGAGAATGGAAAGAGAGGAAGTTAACAACTTAATGGGACATCTCAAGCAACTGGAAAAGGAAGAACATTCCAATCCCAAATCTAGCAGAAGAAAAGAAATGACCAAAATTAGAGCAGAATTAAATGAAATTGAAAACAAAAGGATTATACAACAGATCAATAAATCAAAAAGTTGGTTTTTTGAAAAGATCAATAAAATAGATAAACCGTTGGCCAACCTAACCAAGAAAAAAAGTAAAATCTATAATCTCATTAGTCAGAAATGGTAAAGATGAAATAACAACAGACCCCTTAGAAATCCAAAAACTCCTTAATGAATATTACAAGAAACTTATTCCCAGAAATATGACAATCTGAAGGAAATTAACCAATACTTGGAAGCACACCACCTCCCAAGACTTACCCAGAATGAAGCGGAAATGTTGAACAAGACTATATCGAGTTCTGAAATAACATCAACTATGCAAAATCTCCCTAAAAAGAAAAGCCCGGGACCAGAAGGC